TGTTCACTGAAATGAAAAATGCAGGATGAGAGATAAACATACATTTGTAATCACTAAGAAATTCCTAATGATTTTAAATGTCTGCTCCTTGCAATTCTAACCTGTTGGAAAATGGAAGGTGGGACAAAATGGCTCTTCCAATATGACTGAAGCTTTCTCCCCAGGGTTAGAGCAGAATCTGTGTCTAATGTGTCTCTGGGACAGACCCCTTGGCTTTAGGAGGTGGCCCTTGGGTCCAGGATCGATCCTGATGATGTGAGTCCAGTGATCCTCCAGCTTGACCTGGGGTTATCCTGACAGGGCACTCCATGTACAATATCTCACAGCAGGCTCCAGGTATCTGTTTAATCACAGGAAACTCTATGGTGGGGACATGGGGCATGTGTCCACAGAAAAGTTTTCAGTTGTTTTCCCTCCATTAGCACCTATGTGACTAATCCCCTCACTGATAGGTAAGTACTTCTGGGGCGACTTTGGCATCTCTAATCAAAAGCCAAGGCACACACAGAATTAAAATCATCATTTATATCATGTCTCACTAAAAATAATTTATTTCATTTTGCTCTCTCTCTCTCTTCCACCAATTGTATTATTGATCTCATCTGAATAGTTTGCCCTCCATATCTGCAGGTTCCATACCTGAAGATTCAATCAACCATGGATCTAAAATATTTGAAAAAATAAAATAGCACAACAATAAATATAATAAAAATAAAAATACAGTATAATAATGATTTACATGGCATTTACATTGTATTAGGTATTACGAGTAAAAGAGAGATGATTTAAAGTATACTGGAAGATCGTATAGGGTGTAGGTTAATACAGTACTATACAATTTTATATCAGGGATTTCAGCATCTGTGGATTTTGGTATTTGTGAGGGTTCCCAGAAACAGTTCCACTGGGGATACTGAGGGATGACCACACGTTGTTTCAGAGAATTAATTTTCCAAATCCCCTCTTACTTATATTTCATAACAGCCATCTACTAATGTGTTTGCTCACATTGCTTCTTACATTCCAACATTCTTCCTTCTCTTCTTGTTTTTCTTCTTCCTGGAGAACATATCCTAGTAATTCTCTCAGGAAGATTCTCTGGATGATACATTTTCTGAGTCGTTGCATGTCTGAAAATGTCATTATTCCCACTTTATTTGGGTGTGACATTCTGTGGTCAATGTCATTTTCCTTCAGAACCACTTAAAACTATTTTTATTTATGTGCTATTTCATATATACTTTTCTTTTGTATATATATATATATGTGTGTGTGTGTGTGTGTGTGTGTATGTACATACAAAAGACACTATGTATGATATTGAATTTGGGGTAAAATGTAAAATAGTGAAAACTATAAATAATAAAGTACACACTAAATTATTAATAAAGCACATACTTGTAAAGCAAGACCGAACTTAAAAAACTGAAATATAACCAATAATATTGAAACTGTCCATGTGTTCCTGCCCAGGCCTCATCCCTGATCTCTTTCTCTTCCCACTGTCACTACCCCCAAAAATAATCTGGGAATTTGTGTTTACCATTTCCTTGCATTTTTCCCACAGTTTTACCATAGATGTATACATCTGTAAACATCATATTTAATTTTATTTGTTTTTGGACTTTATAAAAATGGGGCCATGACATAAATAGTTTTCTGCACTTACTGTTTGTTTTTAACCTTATGCTTTTGCAAAGAGTTCCAGTTTATTCAATTTTTTCACTCTCTCTAATATATACTGTTGTGTGGCTATGCCTCACTTTATACATTCTTCTATCATAGGACATCTGTGTTGTCCTTCCTCAATTCTTTACTGTTATTAGTTACAATGGTGCTATGAACATTTTTGTACATATCTACTTGTACATATGTGCAAGAGATTCCCCCTAAGGTATATACCTACTACCAGTATTTTTGGCTCATGACATATGCATATCTGCAACCTTATTAGATAACATTAATTTTTCCATATGGGACTTTACCTATTTAAAATCCTATAGCAACATACAAAATTTCCACTATTCCACATTACTCCAACCTTGGTATTATCAGACTACTTACTGTCTCAGTCTATGAGATGTAAAATACATCTCTTATGGTATAAATTCTCATTTTTGTGTGATGGCATTTGCTTACTACTTTTTTGCATCTGTGTTAATAAATGTAACTGGCCTATATTTTCTCCTTTTTCATCAAGATTATGGTAGTTTTATAAATGTTTCCTCATCTTCCATGTAATGCTGCTGATGAGAAACCTACTGGTTTTCTAGGCTGACTTTAAAATTTCCTTCCTGGAGGTTGTTGGGATTTTCTTATTTCTTGATGCTCTAAAATTTTGTTATAGTGTATCTAGCTATAAAGATTTTGTTCTTGGTTGTGGTGTTTTCTTGTCATTTTTTGGCACTCAATGGGTTCCTTTAGCCAGGGAACAAAAGTCTTCTTTCATTCTAGAATTTTTCTTCTACTGATTCTGTGACTATTGCCTCCCTTCTCCTGGAATTACAACCAGACCAAAGTTGGGATGCTTGGAGCTTGACCAGAATATAGGAGGCACCCTTTCCCTGCACAAAAAACAGTTATTAGAAATCGTTCTTTTTTCGTTTTCTTTTTATCCCTTTGCTGCACCCTTGGATGTTTTCTGGTCTTGGTCTTAAGCTCATTCATTTGTCCTCCAGCTGTATCTGTACTGCTTTCAAACCACCTATTGTTATTTTCTATTTGAATAATCAGGCTTTTAAAAATGTGTGATGTCTAGTTAATTATTTTTATAAATGTGATATAGTCTCAGGTCGTTCTGGCAATTTTAAACTCATGGAACAAAATGTTGGATTAAAGAAAACTGAAATTGCAATAAGAGGCAAGAAAGTGGATGGGGGAGAAGGGGTAAAAAAAACAACTAGAAATTGTGATAAGTATAAAGCAAACAAGTTAAAATTGGAGAAATGATATTTAATGTAATTGGTAAATATATAATATAAATGTAACCAGCTTATGAAAAGAAAGAGACTCTAAGACTGTATAAAATAAATCCAGCTACAAGCTATTTACAGGAGATATATTTGTTAAGAATATTTCAGAAAGTTTTTAGATCAAGGTATAAAATAGATATCACAAGCTGTGGAAATAAAACATTACAATTACCATTTATTGCTATTTTATCCTTGATTAAGATTAAGCTGACACCAGAGGCCACAGGTCTCAAATGGCAATTTAGTGGACGAAGAGCCTTGAAAATAAGGGAGACTATTAATATAGATGCTATGAAAATGAATGCAAAGTGGTGAACTAGCCATTACCTCCTATAATAGGAATAAATGCAAAAACTGAAAATATTTACAAAGCATCTAACTTAAAGACACTAAGAAAATAAACATTAGTCAAGATAAGTTGAAGGTTCTTTCTTGTCAGGTTTATGCTTAATTGTATATCTTGCCAACATAAAATTGAGTGTCAGAGTCTATTTACAACAAAGGGAAATGAGCTTTCTGACAATGTTGAACAGTTTAATTATCCCAAAGATGGTTGACCTGTGACCTTGACCTTGAGACCATAAGACCTAATGTAGTTTGCTATAGGAACAGATTTTTTAGAATGTTTGTCATAGAAAACCATGCTTACTCATTATGATACTGTAAATTTTGGTTTAGAAATAAATTTTTGTTACCAATCTTGTGTTAAATAATCTACTAGTATCTTATTATTAGAACTAACCCAATCAGTATACCCATTGTGATAAAGATTGTACTGATTTTCTTAGGACTGAGAATATAGATTAACGCAGTCCTTTTTTTTTTTTTTTTTTACAAGTAAATAAGTAACTGTGCTTTAAACAAGTAAAAGCATATTTTTATAATTAAATAAGTGAAGGAAGTTAACTTTTAAAATATTTTAATATTTTTAAAATTATTAATAAATAATATATACATAAGGTTTCACTTTTATTAGTTTTATGTGATGACGCACAAGGTTTGTCTTGGGCCTCAGAATTTAGCTATTGTACATGTTTAAGTTTTCACATGGCCTTCAGTATTGTGGAGGCTGAGAAATCAAATACCTACTTCAATGTCATTTGTTATTTTCCCCTAGAGAAGTTTCTGAAATTGAAGTGCATAAAGCAAAAGCTGAAATAAGATGGAAATTCACAGGCAATTTATTATCTTAAAAGCCAATTTTGTTGTTCTAATGCTGCATTTCTAAGTCCAATGTTTAACAAATGTTTTCTCAAGTGATTGTTTTAAGAATACAAATTACAACTGAAGATAATAACCTGAAGTCTATATATAGATTCTGTGAAGTCACATCATTTAAAGTGTACCAGATCTTCAAATCCAGAAGTCTCTTTTTTATTTTTTTTATTTTTTTACTATTAGAGAAGACAGCAAAATTAATAGTACAGTGCCAATAGCTTACAGCAGGACCTTACACTGCCAGACCTGGTTAAAAAGCCTCTTGTTCCTATACTAACTTTGGTTGGAAGAATAAAACTATTTGGTATTTAACATGTTCAGTATATGTTCTCATAACAGTTGACAATGTTTAAAAAAGAATTATTGTCTCTGGACTATAGTGTCATACTTTTAAAATGTGACTAATACATTTTAATAATATAATTGTTATTACAACTAAACATTTATATGTATGTTTATATATATTTTCTTGAATCCCAGAGGATTGCTTTGGGATGCTGATATTTTGCTTCAGCCTTGAGCTTAACTATCTATTAATTTTTAACATTCAGCCATCAGGATTGGGCCAAAATATGTAGTCAAGTACAAACTTAGTTTTTTGTGTACCTTCTAGTATTTAATGCAAATACAAACAAATCTAGTATATATTTTTATTTTTTTCTCTTTCTAACATGAAAGAGAACATAAACACTCTTCTGTATTTTAATATACCAAGTTTAAATACTGACTAAAAGAAAGTAGCGGCAGGATATTCCTATCAGATATAGAATTCAATGTAAAAAGACTTAGAAGGCACAAAAGGTTTCATACTAGAGTATATAATACATATGGCATACAAAATATGTGTTATTCAACTATTTATGTTATAAATAAGGCTTCCTGTCAATGGTAGGCCATTAGTAACTAAGTTTTGGGGGAGTCAAAATTGCACAAAGATTTTTGACTGAACAGGTCGTCAGTGCCCCAACCCTCCCATTGTTCAGGAGTCAACTCTATATGCCAAAAATAGGAAGAAATTAATGAAAGAAAACTAAAAGTTAATGAATAAACTAAAAGAGAAAAGTAACACTAAGAATAAAAAATGCAAAACTATTAGAGAGATGGAAAATTTACATTGTAAGAGAGAAACAGATTCACCTTTATACCAATAAATTTGAAAGCCTAAATAGAAAATGACAATTTTGTAGGAAAATATAAATTTTTTAAATTGGCTCAAGAAGACATGGATAACCTGAGTAACAGAAATTGAAATTATAGTTTCCCTCCCCACCACCCTCCCAAAGGCACCATGCCCAAGCAATTTCATAGATCTTTTCTACCAAACCTCTAAGGAACAGTTAGTTCCTTCTTTTACAACTGTTTTAGAGCATATATAAATGTGGGAAGCCATATAACTCATTTTATGGGACATAATCCTGATAAAAACAACTCTCAAATAAATAAGCAATATCATATATGGATATAGATGTAAAAATATTAATTGAGTTCTGTAACGTATTAAAAATGGGATTATTGTCTCTTAAAATAGGACAAGTAGGGTATGTACCAAGAATGTAAGTCAGGCTCAGTGGCTGGGAGTCTGTCAGAACAGATTAAAAGAGAATTAATGTAAACTTCTGAAGAGAAGCCCAAAAAAGTTTTATTAAATTTGACACCCATTTATGAAATAAACTCTTATAAAACTAGGAAACACCCCTAACTTGATAAAGGTTAGCTGTCAAAACCTGAGAGTAAACACCACATTTAATTCTGAAACTAGGCTGAGATCAGAGTCAAGGAAGAAAGGCACTCGCCTCCAATGCAGACTTTAAGGGGAACACCACAAACCTCAGTAATCAAGATAAATAGTATTTTCATGAAACATTTTTTAAAAATCAATGTTAATACATAAAATCCATGAGGACTTTAAAGTATCAAAATTTTAAATGAAAACTCATGCCATGCAGAGCCCTAAGGGAGCCAGAGGCAAAATATGACCCTATATACATAACCTTGAGTGGTTTTATTTTAAATGACTACTTTCTTTTCCCCAGAACATTAAAGTAATATTAAAAATGAAACATAGGAATATTAAAAATCACATTATTTTAAGTTTAAACTTTTATTCATATCCAAATCAGAATTTATTATACTTTTACTTTCCTGGTTTTAAATGAACTTCAACTCATTAGTAATATTTTCAAACTCTTTCTTGGCTTCTCAATTGAGAATATAGCCATGTTTGACAATTTCTCCTGACCAAGTGACTGTATTAAATAACCACTAATAGGATGAAAAAAAAAATGGGATGCAGAATATCTAAATTACTAGAAGAAAAAAAATGTCCAAGGAAAAATGGCATCATAACACTAAATTTAGAAAAGGTATAAAAAAGGAAAATACCAAAAAAGCTATCAAATAAGATAATAAGAATTAGATCAAACATACTGATTACATAGTAAATATAAAATGGTAATTTCTCAATTAACAAAGATTACCAGATAGAGTGAAAAAGACATTCTGCATGTACTGTTTGCAAGAGATATGCTTATAAATAAAAGACCCTGAAACATTGTTAATTAAATAACAAGGAATATTGATAAATTAATACAAGAAAGGGAGCAGGATGGCAATATTAAGATTAAAAAATTAGAGTTCAAAGAAAAATGCATTAAATGGGACAAAAGCATAAAGTCTAAAAGGAAACTATAGTAGCAGTAAAACAAAAAATAGCAGTGAAACATCAGCAAAAACATTTTCAAAAGAACAAAATAAAATTTTACATAATTAAAGTGGGAAACTTTCACACATTTCTTCTACAGTTTGATCAAGTAAACCAAAAAAATTTAAATGCATAATTATTAAATACCATTAAAAAGCTTGGTTTGATTAATATATTTAAACTCTACAGAGAATATTCTACTCAAATGCCCATAAGACATGTACAATAAACAGCCACAAAGAAAAGCTAAGTAAGTTTTCAGGCCAACAGGCTACATTATCTCATAATGATATTAAAAATAATAAATATAATAATAATAATAAATATAAAAATAATAAATAATAAATTTGCAATTAAAAATGCACACAGGACTAGAAATTTATCAATATTGCACTCTTCTAAATGACTCCTAGATTAGAGAAAATAAACCAAAATTAAATCACGCCATTACCCATGCGTGTGTGTACTACATGCCCAGAACTCTTTCTGGTAGAAATACAATAGTGAACAATTTGAGTTGCAGGGGTGGGGGGTTCATATACTCGCAAACAATAAGCAAATAAACCAATAAGTGTTTGTGTGTGAAATCTCACCACGGTCTTATGAGTTATTTTATTAGCTCAATACTACACATAAAAAAAATGAGACAGGAAGAGGTTAAGTAATTAGCCCAAGATCACCTATCTAGTAAGTAAGAAGGCTGGGATTCAAATACAGCAGCCTGGCTTCAGAGTCCACATTCTCAGCTACTACAGTGTACAGCCTCTTGTATATGAGAAAGAAGCCTATGCTAACAAATATAAACATGTAGATTTTTCAGAAAGAATGAACTAATGAAATTAATTAAAGAAAAAGTAGAAAATCCAAACAGACCAATAAATATGGAAGAAATTGAAGAGTTAGTCAAAGACATAATGTCTATAAAAGCCCCAAGGTTAAATGGCTTTATAGGTAATTCTTATGTTATTTTAAATATTTCAGAGCCTCAGTATTAACAGCTTCATATTAAAACTCTTGCATTTATTTTATGAAGCTAGCATGACCTTAACACCAAACTTGACAGAGGTGACAGTCACACACACACACTCACATACACACACACACACACACACACACACACACACACACACACACACACAATTTAGCTCATTCTTATCTAAAAATAGAAATAACAGCTAAGCCATACATAGTACTTACTAAGTGCCAGGCTATTCTAACCAGTTTACACCAGTTATGTCATTTATTCTTCAAAACAATGCTGTTTCCATCTTATAAAAGAGAAACAGCTTGGGCACAGTGGCTCACGCCTATAATCCCAGTGCTTTGGGAGGCTGAGGTGGGTGGATCACCTGTGGTCAGGAGTTCGAGACCAGCCTGACCAACATGGAGAAACCCTGTCTCTACTAAAAATACAAAATTAGCTGGGCTTGGTGGTGGGTGCCTGTAATCCCAGCTACTTAGGAAGCTGAGGCTGAAGAATCATTTGAACCCGGGAGGCTGAGGTTGTGATGAGCTGAGTCTGTGCCACTGCACTCCAGCCTGGGCAACAGAGCAAAACACAACCTCAAAAAGAGAGAGAGAGAGAGAGAGAGAAACAGAAGGAACGGGACTTGCCCAAAATTACACTGCAAATTAGTGGCAGGTAGTTAATGGCAAAGCTGGAATACCAACCCAGGCATAAAGACTTGGTTCAGAATTAGGAAATGTACTAATTCTACTCATACACAAATAAAATAAAGGAAAATAACTGTATTATCATATCCATAAAGGCTGAAAAGGCACTTGATATTCAGTTTCTAGTTAACAAAGAAACTTATGGTGAATTAGAAACTTTCTTAATATATTAGAGCAGTGGTCCCCAAACTTTTTGGCACCAGGGACCTGTTTTGTGGAAGTCAATTTTTCCACAGACCAGTGGGGTGGTTTCAGAATGATTCAAGCACGTTACATTTATTGTGCACTTTATTTCTATTATTATTACATTGTAATATATAATGAAATAATTATACAACTCACCATAACATAGAATCAGTGGGAACCCTGAGCTTGTTTTCCTGAAACTAGACAGTCCCATCTGAGGGTGATGGGAGACAGTGACAGATCATCAGGAATTAGATTCTCATAAAGAGCAAACCAGATCTTAACATGCTCAGTTCACGATAGGGTTCTCGCTTCTGTGACATTCTAAAGCCCCCACTGATCTGACAGAAGGCAGAGCTCAGGTGGTAATGTGAGCGTGGGGAGCAGCTGCAAATGCAGATGAAGCTTCACTCGCTTGCCCACCACCTGCTGTGTGGCCTGGTTCCTAACAGGCCACAGACCCTTGGGGACCCTTGTGCTAGAGAATACAACATAAAACAAAAGTAACAGTAAAACACCAGGTGCCTTTCCACTAAAATAGCTACATTAATACCCAATATTTAAAAATATATAAAATGGCAGACTATACACTTATTGAGGGATATTTACACAATTGTATATGAAGGAATACCTGTATTTGTAATCAACTCACACATAGTGCCAATCTATATTTTAAAAATAAACTGTTAGAATCCTGAGTTATTAATCTCTTTTATTTTGTCGAACCATAGTTTGGATGATAATATATATAACTCCTACATCCTTTTGGATGTTTCTGATATTTCTGAGGACTTTTGTCTATTCAAATAAAGCAAACTGCAGTAGAAAGGCAGTCTTCCAAATTAACATTTTTAGGATTTTGTGATTCATTCCTTATACTAATCAACCCACAACTTCCCCTACCCTCTCCCTCAGTCCCACCTCCTAATCCAGTCATCAGTGGTTGATGAGCTGATGAGGGTTTCCAGACTCAGGATGTAAAAATATAGAATGGGTACTCAATTTAAACAGTTAAAACAATAATAGCTTTTTAAAGCATTTGTTAAGACTTTATAATAACCAGGTACTTTGCTGAGTACTTTGCAGACATCATTTCACATTGAATTCTAACAACACCTATGAGGTAGATATTATTGTTATTATTTTACACAGGATTAAAAAATGGAATCTCAGAGGTTAAATCATTTGCCAAAGATCACAACTAATAATAGTGTGGCCAAACTTCAATCCCACAATCTTAAGTTTTAACTCTTCTGCTCCAGAGCCTACCAGCTGTGCAGATTTCAAGGGGTGGGAAAGGTGAAACACCTAGTGCAGCACGTGACACACTGTAGGTGCTCAGTGATGGGATGTGCTCTTCTGTTGTGCAATCCAAAGATGTGATCAGACTCTCCT